CACAGATTTTATCACACATTTTACACAAACCAGAGTTCGAAAATCTAACTCTTAAAAAAACAAAACAAAAGTAAATGAACTTTGAGATGAATAATAAAACGTTAGTGAGTAATATTTTACTGATAAAACTTCCACAATACGCAAGTTGATCAAATTTCAAATCCTAACCTGGGCAGAAGAAACTGATACATCATTTATTAGGACCTTGGTTTCGACAGTAAAATACCTGATAATACCTTTACTGACGAACCCACGGCCGTAATAAATGATGTCCTTGTGAAACATACAATTGTCTTGTTTGTCCTCAGTTCTGTTTCCTTAAGCTAATAATGTCAGTCTAGCACTTTGTGTCATATCTAATTTGGTTTCCCACTTTGTATTGTCAATTTCCCATTTATCTTATAGTTTAGAATAAGCCTTCATCTCAGCCCTCACAAGATTGCTTTGATTTATATATATATAGGTAGTTAATCTTAAAACGGTTAAAGTTGTTTTTATAAAACATTTCATACATTCAGTAATATTTAGTTTAATCGTGTCATATTTGTTGCAGATATTCCTACGCCTACATACAAAAAATGTTATTGCAATGTGCCGTTTTACACATTCTCGTTACATAATTTTTACAGCAATACAAATGTGTATGACAGTTAAATTCGAAAAGCTCGCCGTTAAAATTGAGCTTATTTATTAATAATGCACTTTAAAACGTGGAGTCTTATTTGACAATCGACATACTTTCAAAGTTGTTTTTGGAGTCTGCTTCCTTGACTTCAGTCATCCGATCATTATTAAAATTTTGGCTCCGATACGTTATTAAAGTTTTAGGTTTGTTGAGCAGCGTGTTGTCAAAAACAAAAGAGGCGACGCGACGTCATATATTTTTACATTGTTTTTTTCTCTTTCTTGTTTCCAGGGGAACCAGACTGGAGATAACAGAAAACAAGGAGAAGATACACCTGAAGAAAGAGTTAATAAAATATTTCAGCATTTAGACAAGGTGAGCGTGAATACTACTATTAAAATTGAAGAAATATTATTTACTACTTTTATAAACTACTTTACAGACTTTGACTCTAACAAAAACAGGTTTTGTAGAAACTAGAATAATTCTTATTTTATTTTAAAATAATAATAAAAATATATGTATGAGGAGTATAACCGTTTAGAATTTTCTAAAGTACTAAATGACAATTAGCTTCTTAATGCTAGGTAATGTTAAGCTGAATTTCTAACTCTGAATTGTTATGGCTTATATCACTCGTTACCCCCCCCCCCCCAGTGGCACATCGGAATGTCTGCGGACTTACAACGCTAGGATCCGGGTTTCGATACCCGTGGTGGGCAGAGCACTGATAGCCCATTGTGTAGCTTTGTGCTTAACTTCAAACAAACTAATAAATAACTTGTTACGACTATGTTCTTTTGAAATATAGTAATTATGCTATTCAAACGTATATTATTCAAGATTAAATTACAATTCGTTATTTTTTCGAATACATTCATAATTTTCGGCGAACGAGTTGGGAATTTTACATTCTTGAGTTTTGCCAAATTGCACAAAATAAAATATTGTTTATAATTTGCTTTATGTTGTAATTAAGTAAGATAAATCATTATCAGAGCGTTTGTGTGTGAAAATATAGGAAAATAATTATAAATGATAATAAATACAGATGAACACGACGTTTATACTAACTTTACTTTATGATAAAAATTCAAACTGATAGTACAGATAATACTAAAACTATAAACTGCAATAACTGGTGAAAAATATTAGTACTAATAAATCATGTAGTGATGATGGGAAACATTTTTGTGAAGAAGTGAAAACTAACACCAGACGAGATTCGAAGCTGAACAGCTGAGTTGAGGATCTAGATAACATTAAATATTAGTTTTCACTTCTTCGAAAGACAACTGTTATAGCATATCTAATTACTCTTTTTGGTAATAAAGGCAGTAGGAAATGATATACTGCAGACACTGCAGAAAGAACATAAACAGTGGTAATAAGGACAGTAGGGGATGATGTACTGTAGACACTGCAGAAAGAACATAAACAGTGGTAATAAGGGCAGTAGGGGATGATATACTGCAGACACTACAGAAAGGACACTAAAAGTTGTGGTGTGCAACACGTGTGTTAAGGGAATGCACAAAAATTATTGCCGCATAGTACCATTGAAAAACCCTAGGCATAGTTGGAAGCCGAATTGTACATGAGATGCAATGAGTATTCACTCTACTATGATGTGGTTCGAAAGGCTGATAAATATGGATGTAGTCAACCTAGGCATAGTTGGAAGCCGAATTGTACATGAGATGCAATGATTATTCACTCTACTATGATGTGGTTCGAAAGGCTGATAAATATGGATGTAGTCAACCTATTTTGTGTTGGGTTTCAACACTGCAGCCTTATGAGTACCTGTACCTTTCAAACTGGTTATATACTTTTAAAATCCTAACATAAAATATCAAAAGTGTTCCGTATTCATGATGTTAGAAAAACACGTAGGTTCAAGAAGTCTTGATAGAAATGAATAAAAACCCTATAACCCGAGCGCTTTCGAAAGGTGGACCTTTCTTCTTCAGGGGCAAAGTGTTCCGTATATATATTATCTTCTTATTTCAGTTTCAATCTATATTATTTAGCTCTCATGAAACTAATCCAGAATATATTGAAATCGATTCACGATGCTACAAATAATTCAAACATCATCACATAAAAATTCCCATTCAGATGCACTTTGTAATATTAAATTGAACATTTACAAATAAGATATTATTCATTATGTGTTACATAAATTTTGAGATTATTTTCTAAACACACAGGATACTTATGCTTTGGCCATCATGTAAAAGCTTAGGTAACACATGAAGTTTATTCGATATGATTCTGGATTATACCGTTTATTTATGCTTTACTCATTTTATTATGTACTGTAGATATAACACAATTATATTATTATTTACAGTATCAAGTAACAATATATGTGCTTTAATCTAATTTTCAATTCATCAGGCATATTACTCAGCTTCTTTGCATTACATTTGGTTTGCACAATTAATGACATTTTGTTTGTTTGTTTTTAATTATGCACAAAGCTACGCAAGGGTTATCTGTGCTCTGCCCACCACGGGTATCGAAACCCGGTTTCTAGCGTTGTAAGTCCGCAGACATACCGTTGTGCCACTGGGGGGCAATAACATTTTGATCATGTGCTTCGATATCACATTTTGTTTTCTCAACTCTTATTTTAAGCTTAGTAGAACTGACAATTCAACTGTTTCTTCTTCAGAACCATGATGACAAGTTAACTCTGGAGGAATTTCGGGAAGGCTCGAAGGCAGATGAAAAGATTATACAGGCATTATCTCTCTACTCTCCTTAACAGAAGCTAGGGGTCCAAGAAGAGAAAAAAAAGCAAATTTTTTTCCTGTTTGTTAAATTGATGGATATAATTTATAAAGAGGAAATAATAATGTTTTGAATACATTTTCTTTAAAAGGTACCGAAACCGTTTATTTGTATTACAGCATCATGCAGTAAAATACTGCAAGTAATAAAAAACAAAAAGTAAATTTCTATTCTACGTTCTACTGTTATCAAGTACTATGAAGTGGGGTAATAATAAAGATATCTACCACATGGCTTATGGTGGAACTTCCCCATTAGGCCTACTCTATGTTTTTTTAGCTTATTTTCTGCCCAGTATATCGAGTCAAGATGATCAGATCATTCTGACATGCTGTTTTTTTTCTTAGTGCATTCTGTCACCTCGGGGAATCGAACCCCGGATTTTTTGCGTTGCAAGTCGGTAAACATACCGTTGAACCCATCGAGGGATTACTTTGACATAGTGGAAGAGAAGTCGCTTAAAGGTAAATTAAACAGAAGTAAGAAAGATTAAACTTAAAATAAATAAAACTTAGCTGAAAGTGTGAATTTAAGATAATAAAAGGCCAAAATTCATTAAAAAAATTTGCTCTCAATTGCACTCAAGAAAGCTCATTTTGAATACGTTTTAATGTTGGCCTTAGATGTACACCAGATGCTCGCTAGTGGAAACTATTTAAGTACGTTTTAATTTCGGCCTTAGATGTACACCAGATGCTCGCTAGTGGAAACTATTTAAATACGTTTTAATTTCGGCCTTAGATGTACACCAGATGCTCTAGAGAGAGACTTCATAAATACGTTTTAATTTCGGCCTTAGGTCCTACATCAGGTGTTTTAGGGAGAAACATTTTGAGCGTGTTTGAGAACAACTGTTTAATTAATTTTGTGCTTCTATACTTTCAGTTACCATCAATTACTGTATTTATATTTTGATCTGAATCTTATTTATTTTTTAAATTAAATCATTATTTGTCCTTTCTGCTTAACTTGCCTCTAAATGGTATCAAGTATTTATTAATATAAAGTATGCGAACAGTTATTTCATGGCTGAAATTTTGATTTTTTTCCTTTCTGACTCTAAAATCTTCATTCTTCATGCTCTTTACAACGTAATACACCATTTTGACCCTTCAAATATTTGACACAAGTACATACAAGTTATTCTAGTCCACATTGACATTTGTTAAATCGCTGGCTTTCAGCTACTTTATTACAATTACAACCAGGCTATGTTTTATGTTATAAACCATTGGTCAGTTTTTAGGTGGAAGTCTAGGATACTTAATATATGGTTTCTCCTTCTCCATCCTCTTGAGAGCGCATCAACATCACAGGAGGAAGACAGTGGCAATGAGTATTGGAAGATGATAAAAACTTGTCTTAGGGATTGGCCTGCTTTAAATAAGTAGACTCGTGAGGAGAAATGTGGGGGTAGAAGAAGAGAAGAGGAATAGTGCGCAGCGTATGTCAATTGTACTTGTAGGTCTGATGATACGTAGGTGAATAAGTTAAGACTTGAGAAAAGTGGAGAAACGGAGGGTTATTGTTGGAGGATTCGATCCCTAAGTAATGCATTCTGTGGACAGTCTCCCATATCTTCCAAACGTCATTTGGGATTGATGCCTACCCTAATCATTTTCTGCTAGACATTTCCGAGCATTTAAGAATTAGTTATGATAATTTTAGGCCTAATGAGTTATGAGTAAGAACGAGGACTTGGTAAAAGTCCTTATGGAGTCTAATGGGGGTGGGGATGGTACACCATGTAAAATAATTAAGGAGATGAGTATTTTGCAATTGAAGTTTAGCTGTAACCTAAGAGGTCGTCGTCAGGCTTAGCTGAATACAAATGAACTCGCAATATCCATGACGTAACAACATCTTTTCCACTTTTATAATGTTGTAAAGTGAATTATTTTGTTTAAAAAAAAAGTTCGAAAACTTTGACTTTTGAGCAAAGACAAATGTTAGACCCTAACGTTCTGGACTTGCACCTTTCAAAACGTTTTTGTGATAAAACTTCTACATGTAAATTTATGAACAAATATCTTTATCTCTCTTCTTCTCATGATTTTAAGATTTTATTTTTTCATCACAACATATCAGCGAATTTTCTCCCTTTACACACATTAGAGAAGGATTGTGTCAATAATTAAAACTGAATGTTTAGAAAAAGAAACCGAAATTTGAGAAAAAAAAGTTTTTAAATGATATAAATTTACATTGATAATATTTTTTGGTTTTAAATTTCGCGCAAAGCTACACGAGGACTATCTGCGCAAACTTGTGGGCTACTCTTTTACCAACGAAGAGTGGGATTGACCGTCACATTATAACGCCCCACGGCTGAAAAGTGTGACGGGGATTCGAATCCGCGACCCTCAGATTGCGAGTCGAATGCTCTAACCACTTGGCCATGCCGGGCCTGATAATATTTACAATATTGAGTACTTGAATAATGTTGTATGCATGGCGGAGAGTGTTAGAACAACATTTGACAGAAAACAAATCAGAGCACGCCAAATCATATTGTATCCAAACGATTTAATGTTATCTTGTAAGGTAATTGTTTTAATGTATGAGATCGATGGGTTACTCCCATAAAATCTCATAGTCGATCATACTGTGAGTGGATAGCCTCGGCTTGAATGTTTAGATTTCCAAAAGAGATGTCATATCTGTGTTCTTTAATCCGCGTACTTAACACATACCCCATTTTACCATCGTAGGTTCTGCACACTTACATTCGATCTTATTAATTATAGTGGTTATACAGGGTTTGATGTTGGTCATTAATCACTACTCAAACAACTAAAGGATTCTTTGAATTTACATAGTTATAGTTAGGGCAAGGCAAAAACCACTGCTATAATATAATATCAGTTGTACCTCTGAGTTATTTTTGCGAAAATCAAGCATTTTGATGATCAGTCATGTGATACGAAATACAATTAATTGATTAGTCAGCTTATAATATACGTATAAGTGAAAGCACCGACGTCTACATGGTACCACTAACGATGTCCATGATGAAGATCACATTGTGTTACTCTCTGCGTTACCATTTGTTGATGTAATCTGTTCTGACTGCAGCCTGGTGAATAATAATAATACATACACTCACCGAAACATTCTTCTTCCTGGACTTTAATCTTATCAAGCATGTATATATAAAACCAAATCACCATTCATCTATGGATACGAATAACAAAACACTGGAATATAAGAATATTCTATTCCATTTTGTTTCCTCTCCTTCATTAATTTCTTCAACCGGTTTCGTGATTTTCAGGATATAATTTTACTGAGAATCCAGAACAAAAACATATAAAAACCGTTTTTCAATTAAACATAAATAATCTAAATTCAATACATATATTTTCCAAATGTATAAATGTGTTTCAATGTGTAAATTAAGCACATTACAAATACTCAAAAATAAATACAATTTATCAGTATACTTTCCTTTTTAAATTAAAATCTTATTGTAATTCTACTTTCTATTATTATTATAATAGAAATACAATTTATTTATCATATCATTTCATAACTCTTACTTACTTTTTGGTCTGTAAGTCTTAGTAACAGTTTTTACGGTTTCACAATTCCTACTGACTCTACACAACCCGTTACTTCTGCCCTCTTACTACTATCTATTTAAAGTGGCGTCAAGTTTGTTTGTTTTACAAACTATTTTATGTTTTACATTACATAATAGTGTCTTATTAATACTTTTTCGTTAAACAGATTTGTTAAATTCGTTGACCTTGGGGTGTCCTTCTCTAAAATATTCATGCGGGAATTGTAAACATGTACATGGGTCACATAACCTATTTAAAAAGCGTAAACAAGACACGATTATGTCTTGCAACTCATTCCTGAAGATGACGTTGCAACGTCGAAACATCAACGTTTTATTGTCCATAGATTGGTCTTAATTAAAATGTTTTTAATTGTGTACATATTTTAACGTTGTGTGTTATTTTCTCTCTCTTTCCACTCATTAGAACACTGTACACAGCTCTCCCTCCACTCATTAGAACAATGTACACAAATCTCTCTCCACTCATTAGAACAATTTACACAGCGCTCCCTCCACTCATTAGAACACTGTACACAGCGCTCCCTCCACTTATTAGAACACTGTACACAGTTCTCCCTCCCCTCATTAGAACACTGTACACAGCTCTCCCTCCACTCATTAGAACACTGTACACAGCTCTCTCTTTCCACTCATTAGAACACTGTACACAGTTCTCCCTCCACTCATTAGAACACTGTACACAGCTCTCCCTCTACTCATTAGAACACTGTACACAGCTCTCTCTTTCCACTCATTAGAACACTGTACACAGCTCTCCCTCCACTTATTAGAACACTGTACACAGTTCTCCCTCCACTCATTAGAACACTGTACACAGTTCTCCCTCCACTCATTAGAACACTGTACACAGCTCTCCCTCCACTCATTAGAACACTGTACACAACTCTCCTTCCACTCATTAGAACACTGTACATAGTATTATTTCCTGACACATGTGTTATAATGTTAAAATAATTGTGTACAGTGTTCTAAGGAGTGGAGGGAGAGCTGTGTACAGTGTTCTAATGAGTGGAGGGAGAGCTGTGTACAGTGTTCTAATGAGTGGAGGGAGATTTGTGTACATTGTTCTAATGAGTGGAGAGAGAACTGTGTACATTGTTCTAAGGAGTGGAGAGAGATTTGTGTACATTGTTCTAATGAGTGGAGAGAGATTTGTGTACAGTGTTCTAATGAGTGGAGGGAGAACTGTGTACAGTGTTCTAATAAGTGGAGGGAGAGCTGTGTACAGTGTTCTAATGAGTGGAAAGAGAGAGCTGTGTACAGTGTTCTAATGAGTGGAAAGAGAGAGCTGTGTACAGTGTTC